TTGCTCTGGAAAGTGAAGGAGTAAGAGAGGTGGGAGGAACCTTTCCACTCAAGACTTTGCTCAAGGACAGCAGCACAAATGCAACCCCAGCTTACCGCAAGAAATGAGGTGAAAGGTTTTGTCAGTGTTGATCAGTGTTCATTTCACTAGTACTGATTTCCCATTTTGGTAGAAGGATCAAGGGCTGAATGCTGAATAGGAGGAAGACTAAACCAAACTTTCTTCTCAGGAGATGATCATTGTGGGTCAGGCTTGAAGCATATTAGCTGGGTATTATAAGGGGAAGAAATGCTGAAACTCCTGCTATGCCTGTTTGACAGATAAAGAATTTCAAGCTCTGGGGCAGACAGATCAACAATAAATTCATGTTAAGAAGTGTCTGTGAGATTTGCTAACGACTTCAAGTACCTCAGGGCCAGGACCGTGGTCTTTCATGTTTTTATAAAGCACACAACTCAACTGAGCCCTGGTCTGAGCAGGGCAGCCACGTCTCTGCTGCACAGGTAGAAGCTGTACATCAGTTCTGTGGGCAAACATGTGCCAGAGGAGCTGTACAGCTCAGCACTACAGCCCTTAGAAAGGTTTCAGCCTTAAATGGCCTGTCCAATCTTCTACTGAGCAAGGGCTTCTCCCCAAACATAGAGAGGAATGATGGTGGGGTCCTGAACATCAGCTGAGAGCTCTGGTTGTCTCAAACTCCAGCCTGCTTCACCACAACTTTGGTTCTTAACCAAAGTGAAAGAACTTGGTATGGGATGCTCTGAAAGTGTCTCAATTACTTCAGAACAAGAGAAGTGACTGAAGCCTGCTGTGCTCTGAAGCTTCTGGCCCTCAGAGCAGCACAGCTGCTAAACAGCATCCCTAAAACCAAACTGAAAATTCAGTGTAGAAATGGGTTGTGGGGTTGAATTTTATGGCTTTTGCAAAGCATCAACATAAACACTGAGTGTCAGTTTGCTGCTACTCTGTGCAGGCAAGAAAGGGAGTGAGGTGAGGTGGAGGAACAAGGTTCTGTCACTAGATTGCTTTCAGTCAGCCACCTCTGCTTTTGCCATGCAAAGTTGAGGTAGAACTCCCCATTCTGCTTCCCCTCCCTATCATTCTGGCACCCTGGCTGCTGCCAGATTTCCTCTTTCAAATCAGAAAGGCTCAAAAATAAAATCTTCCCTTGTGCAGGGTGTTCACTGAACTCTTTTGGGTCGGGCAGGATTTGAGGCCAGCATGCTGTCACGTACCAGAGGGGAAGCAGAGGGACACATTGCTGATCAGAGCTCGTATGGACAGCAAATTTATCCTGGCTTTAGGAGGTCCTGCTTCCTCTGCCCCCTCTCCATCATAATTAGACACATCAAAGAGCTGATCTGTCATCTGAAATGGCAAGATGCCTAACATTTATATTAGAAGGAGTCAAGCCCCAAGGAAGCAAAGATCAAGAACATGATGGTGAATATGAGGGGGAGATTGAAAGTCTGTCTGTGGACCTCAAGGAAGTTGAAGTGATGGAAAATGTACAGGCAGAGAGGAAAAGGCTATCAACCTTCCAATTAAAAACCCCAAGGATGAGGGTTTTGTCTGTGTTTGTATTAATCAAGGATAAGAAATCAGACAACTCAATGAGACAGGAGGAATTGTAGTCAGAAGCAAAGGACAGGGAAAAGCTGGGGGTCACTGGGGGATGGGTGCACACAGGAAGAAAGAAAACAATGACTAAAAATTTAACTACAAGGTTCTTAAAGGAAATAAAAATCTCCCCAGGTGTCGGGAGTGTTCTAAAGGCAAGACTGGCTTTACTCATCCCTCGACCTAAGCAGCAGGCTTTCTTCAAAGCACAGACCTACTCAAATATGCTTATGCAAAGAGCTTTTAAAGCTTTTATTGACAGCACTTAGCAGCTATGGCTTTCCTGAACCTCAGCTTGCCTGAGGTGAAATTGTGTGGGTTTAATGTCTTCCTCTGGTCAGGGGTGGTGCCCTGCAGTTCAGGGACAGGAGCTGGGTGCAGCACAAGGAAGGTTCTTGCTCATCTCTGGAGCTCTGAATCAGGAATTCTGCAGCTGTCCCTGACTCTTGCACCCACAGGGAGCAGATCTCAGTCAAACCCATGGTGATTAGCCCAAGGCAGTAGATGGTGTCAGTGTCAGAGCCAGGATTAAAACTCCAGTGGTTTTTGGCTGCCAGTCTGATGCTCGAATCACTAGACCACACCTCTCATTATAAAATAATTGTCTGATTTTCCCTTTGAAATCAAAGCTGTTTACAATTATATGGGAGAGAGCAAGAAAATGCAATCTGGGATAGTTCTTTTAAAAAGCATTTGCACCTTTTTATGTAAAATTTCAGTTTAAACAAACTCTGTGTGTGCAGTTGTTAGGGGACTCTAATCCCTTCTTTTCCTTTTAATTTGACAGTAGGATTTCTTGTCCCTTTTGGAGAAACTCTCTAGATTGAGGTGAATTAATGTATTTTTATCTTATTGAGAACTGCTGATTGTGATGAATATAACACATCACACTTGGAACATAACATAAATGTCTATGATAAATAAATGTAAATGAGGAGCTGAAAACTTTGGCTGTGGATACCTTAGGAATTTATGATTGTTACATAGGTGCAAGTTTTTTTCTGAAATTAATTCAAAACAAGATCACACCACCATAAAAACTAGTATTGAGTATGTGTTTCTGTATGAATTAGGTAATTTTCTATTACTAACAATGAAACAGTGAAATTTTTTATCAATTAAGCACTCATAAGTAGTAAACTAGTGAGAGACAACCTGCTGAATGCCTTGAAGTTCCCTAAAAATCTGCAGAGCTACTCTGGCATTTCAAGTTGTACAAGTATCTAAATCCTGACTGAATTAGGCCTGATTTAGTGGCACGGTGGGACACCACCTTTGGAGAGGTTTGACAGAGTTGCACTGAAACATTATTATTGAATAGATTTCTGTTTTCCTATATGGAGTCTAGGAGAGTTTTTTGATACATTGCACCTAATTTAGATAAGACACATCAGCAGGAGTCTTTCCCTGGAGTCTAAGGGGCTTTGGACAGGATCCTGGATACTTAAAAAGCTGTAGACAAGTCTGTATTGCAGTCAGCCTTCATATTTAGATGGTAATGTATATTGCTCATGGTTATTATGAAAATGATTCCAATTAGAGATACCAGATGCCATGATATGAGGTAAGCTAAGGGAGCTGTCTTTAGCTAAGAAATCACACCAGACCTATCATTAACAAAAAATGGCTGAAGCTGCTGATATTTAAGACTGCACATAAATATTAGTGGCTAAAAGCTGTGCAATATGGCTTTTATAACTCAGCTCAGCAAGAAGCAGAAGATGCAGAAACGGTATTTTCAATCCTTCAAGTGAATTGTACTTCTTACAAGTTCCACAGCATCTCCTTTTATAGATACATATTAGTTCATTAAACTATCATTTAAGCAGAAAAATAGAACCAAAAAACACATTTTCAGTGCAAAGCCTTTGAGTTAACACTGCTCTTGGAACTTTGCAGACCTCTCCCCTGTGGAAATAGACTACAGACACCCGGAGGTAGATTACATTTTATTATCAGTGACTGCAGAGTCAAGTCCTCATTGACAAGTGAAAGTCTTGGCTAAGGAAGGGAAGAGGAAGGGTAAAGAAAGGTTAAATTTAACCCCCAACAGTCAGTGTTTTGTGTGTTTCTTCTTCTCCTTATGCCCTGTATGGAGGAACAAACTTTTCCAGGCTCAAGTAGGGCTTGGGTGACATGTGTATATCCTCCTCTTCCTGGGTGGCACATCACAAATGTGTTGACACCAATCATGATAACCACACTTTGTTTTAGTGTTAAGCATAATGATAATGATGTAACCTGAGATAGGGCTGTATTGTAATTACACAGTTGTGCCAGTTATTACATAGTTATAACACAGATCAGCTCCTTGATCAGATATGCCCAGGAGCTTCTTTTGCTTTACGCCTAATGCAGGAACAGAAAACTAGATCCCTAATTAACTTTGATTGAACCTTGATTAGATAAGGGAGTGGGGCCAGTAGGCACCAAGCAGGCGGGGAAGCCAGCCCGTATGTAGATATGTTAAGCGTGTAGGCACCGTCCTGACGAGTCACAGGAAAGAGAAAGGAAACTCCCTTTTCAGGAATTGATACCTCCCGACAAGCACAAAGGAATTAGCCCAGACTAGCCCTCAGAAATGCAAGAAACTTCTCACCTTCCCCATCCTGCAATGCCCCCACCCTATGAAGATGAGATTCTCAAGCAATTCACCTTGGGAACAGGTAGATTTCTATCGTTCTCTCCTGCCACCGCAGGAGAGCTTTGCACAAAACACAATTATTTCTCCAAGTATTGACTCCTCACTCCTTTATTTCTGCTCAAAGTGCTGAATTGTTAGTGCCATGCAAACAAAGATCATTTGGCCTTGAACAGTTTCATTGAATACATGATTTAATAAAGGGGTGAATGATGCCAGACTTGGTTAACTGAACCTGGACAGCTGAAAACTAAAAAGCAGCAGATGTACCTGAGGAGAGCACTCATCATTTTGCTCATGAGACAGGAGATGTGCAAATGCTCTCTCACTTCTCCAGAGCTGCACTGGCTCTACAATAGTCAATTTTTGCAGCCAAATTTTAGTCTGGTTAATAAAAATACAGACAACGCCCAAAACCTTGATATTTTAAGATGTGTATTATCCCTTTTTCAAGAGTAGAATATCACATTAATATTCCACATTTATGGTAACTATATACATATTTCTAGGAATTACTACTGCTATAAACTCAACAGGAGCTCTAGGTTGTTTAATATCTCTTAAAATCTAATGAATACTACTAATCTAATGTACCTTGAACAAAGAAATAAATACAACTTGGGACACTCTTGACAAACTTTGTTAATCAACTGAGTCTGATTTTTTTTTCCCCATTATACTGTCATATAAATTCCTAACCTTTTTACAGAGATTTTTTTTTTGCCAATATTCATTCCAGCTTGTGAAGACATTTAGTGTCCTTGACCATAGAACGCTAGGAAAGTGCTGCTGTGGCATTTTGTACTGCCCTGTGCATGGGAGGGAGCATAAAGCAGAGTTTTATAGAAGCAAGAACACGTGAGCTCTGTTCCAGCCCTGTTCAGTGAGTATCACATTGACTTCTGGGAGGGGAATGAGTATATGTCTACCATACTTCTTTAAAACATTTTAAGTTATTTTAGGCCAGCTTAGGTTTATTGATTCAAAGAGTAAAAAAAAAAAAAACCTCTCTCAAATAAAACCCACTTCAGTAGCTGTCCTGGTGTGCTCTGAATTGACAGTACACCACTCTCAGTAGATGTTATCACACAGACTTCTCTCAGTCACTGAATTACTCTATTGCATGCAACAGCCAACTTTCAGTCCTTCAGACTTTAATGTTATCCAAACAAGATTTTTTTCCTTTAGGGCTGTGGACATATTCCTCAGTGAAACTGTTTATTTTCCAAGTATAGACTTTCAGAGTCCTTTGATATATTAATTATCTGTGAGGTGTAGAAAAGCATGGCAATCATTTTTGTCAAAGGCAGGGAAAACGGACCCATTTCACTTTTGCAACACTCAGGAGTGGCTGAGTGTTCCCTTTCACACCCACAACTTCATGAGCCCACAGACACAGGTATGAGCTGAACGTGGGCAAGAGAAACCTTTCCAAAGGTGAGTGTGGGAAATACACAGAACCTGCTTGCAGGTACAGCTGGGGTCATCCTTGTCACCTTGTTATGGACTATAACCATGTGAGGAAGGGGGTCTAATCTCTTCCAAAACTCGAGCACCTTTGTTGCTTCTCTGGGTGCATTCTGCCTTCTGGCACCTGCTTAAACAGAGGACAGATAACCCAAACCAGAAACTTTATCTCGAGCCTCATTCAAACCTCTCATCACCAGCTTTTCTGATGCAGCAAAGTAACAAGCACATGCTCAGCTATGAGTTGATGAGGAGCCTCCCTGATCCTTGGATGTTTAAATTCAGGATATGCTTCCACCCTCTGCTGAACCAGAGGCAGAACCTTTATGATTGAGCCACGTTTCATTTATGATTTTTCTGGTTGCAGGGCAAAGCAGTAATAGTGACACAATAGGAAAAGCATCCCGCAGCCCTCTCAGGAGTGTGCAACAGCCACAGAGACTCCAGTGCAAATAAACTCTCTGATGATACTGATTTGGTTTCTGCTGAGTAGGACCTGAGGAGTGAGATAACCAGCACAGCTCCAAACAGAGAGCTTGCATCTACATTTGTCCCACTCCAGCCACTTTCATTTCACATGTAAAGCAGTTCTGGTTGGGACACAGGGACAGAGAGCTGTAATAAATGGTACAGAGAATTTGGTGATCTGTGCTCCCAGTATCTGAACCCCCCCCAAAAAATTATCCTTCATTTAGAGCTCTAAGGACAGACTGTTTTTAAAAGTTTACTTTTATTACAACACTGCCTTTCTCTCTTTTCCATGGCACAGAATTCTTCAGCCAGGATTGTCTTCTCTTCCTCCTTTGACAAATCAACACAATTTTGGCAGGCATTTCATTGACTGCCAGTGCTGTGCTACCAATAATTTACCAGAATTGATAAAATTTGGCGCTTTATTTTCTTAATTCTTTATTGCTTAAATTATGTCCTGCACACCCAGATTTGCTCCATTTCTGGTTTACGTACTGGAGGCTCGATCCTACCCCAACACTGGGCTCTGTTTCCAGGCTTTACAGAGGATGAGCCATCCCAAGGACTTGGAGTGTGAGATAGTGGGTGTACATTAGGGTTCAATTGAGGACACACTTCTGTGTATCTTGGAAAGGAATTAGAGACTTGCATGAACACTGTAAATTAGAAAACAAAAGCGCTTGTTCATAATTTATTGAATTTTTAAGGCTTATGTAAAATTTTATGATTTCTGATATGTCAGCTCTAAAAGCACCTTCTGCAGGATTCTGCATCAACATAGATTACAAATGGTCCCTATTTCAGCTGTTTGCAAAGTTATTATAAAACAAGAGGTGAGAGATGCAGGCTAGACTGTGGAGAGAGCTTCTCCTAGGATTCATTTTGGAGGTGAACTGCACGTACAGCTGGGAGGGGTTGCATAAAGCTGAAATGACATCGCTCACATTAGCCTCAGTGCTTAGATTCAAACATGTATTAACCTGGGAAATAATATAAATGCTATTTGAAAGCCTATTCTTATAACATTTCTGACCCACTTCAGACTCCTTTTGGTAATCTGGGAAGGGACCTTTGTTCCCATGGCAGCCCATAATTTCCTGAGTGAAACAGTTCGGCTGAGCTCTGAATGACAGAGTCAGGCATTTGGATGCTTATCTTGCTTCCAAGTGTTCCGAGGTTCCTCATTTCTCACTTATTGCACAATGCCCCAATCTCACTGGGAAGGTGAGAACTGGATCAGAAAGAAAATATAATTGCTTTTTTTTATTAGCTTACGATACAGTCCCGCCCTTCTGTGTTGCCAGCTTACCGAGTTATTCACAAATGATGATATACATAGAGGGAATTATATAATTATCAGCCTATAATTACAGGTATATAGATATATACATCCCCCTGGAGGAGAGCTGGGCTTGGCACATACCTGCTTGTAACGCTGAGTCTTTAGGGAATTCATGCCCATTTTAAGTAGAAGATTATTTATTTATCAAATGCTTGAGACATTTTATGAAAAACAAACCCAAAAGAATCCTTTGATTCTTTTTAATAAAGTTCATAAAGTAAGTAACTGAACAGATCCAGGCATGCAGGAGCAAACACTCTTGTGCAGAGGGAAAGCAGAGACATTTCTCAATCGTGGTGAATTATTGGTAGCACAGCATTGGCAGTCAATGAAGAGTTTGCAGCAGCAATGCTGATTTGTTGAGGGAAGTGAAGATGCCAGTCTTGGCACAGCGATCAGAAGCCAACACTGAGAAAGCCAAGTCCATGCTGTATCCCCACAGACAGCTTCTTTTTTTTTTTTCTTTATTTTTTTTTTAAAGCTTTACACAAAATTAGTTTATCTTATGATGCTGCTTTAATGCTGTAACCATAGATAAACCCTATTGCCTTCCCACTCTCTTTCAATGCCTCATTTTGTCATTGGGGCAGATAGTGATTCTCAGCTGATATAAATCAGCAAAGCTCCACTGATTTTTAACAAAGCTGTGCCAGCTTCTGCTAGCTGAGGGTCTGCCTGGATATTTCTCTAGCTGTAAAGCAAAGAATCCAGCAGGCAAAGCTGATGTAAGTTGGATATTTTTTTTGGCTGGTTTTTCTTTGTTCTATCTTGCAAATGCTGCTCTCATTCATAACTGCTTGGATGCTTTCAAGTCTGTGTGCAAGAGTTATGGGGCCTAATCTGGCTCCCACAATGGTGCAAATCTAGGGTAGCTCTAGTTAAATCAAAAGCATTACTCAGAGGTGTTGCACTGCTGTAAAAGCACTGTGCTTGTGCAGAGCGACTGATCTGTAAATCTCATAATATGCCCAGGATCTTTCCAAGAGTTTATTTGCAAACAAACAAACAAAAAGAATTGTGGTGGCTGAACAGACTGATTCCAGCCCGTGGAAAACGGACTGAGCCTCTGCCAGGAATAAACTGTAGACACTTGCTAATTACAATTTGTGGCCAGCTTACAAAGTTCAGTAAAGGAGAAAACTGCCCCATTCAGATCCTCTCTCAGTTTGATGACATCACTCACATCATTATGTTGTGATATGCCAGATGGGAAAATTTGAGGTGGGGATGAAGTGAAAATCCTGGTTACACCTTTTCTCCAGGCTATCTGCCTCTCCATCATTTTACAACATCACAGAGAGTCTCAGACAGTTTGACTCTGCCATCCCCAGCTGGTTTGGACCCAGCAGATAAATGCTGAACCATTAAGAATTGATACATATTTCCACCATTGTGACAGGTTATGCTGCATGCAGCTAACCTTACTTTAATTAGTTTATTTAAGCTCACTAGTACATTTAAATAAAGAGGGAAGGTAATAGTATAAACTCTGTAATTTCTGTTGCCTGGGAAAAAAAAAATAAAAACAGCCGTGCATCAAATGCTTATTGAAACTGAAACATATGTATTAACATATGGCAGAATTTCACTTACTGTATGTTTTAGTGCAGAGCTGATGAGGAAGGCATCTGTGCTGAGAGCATCTGAATGGAGGCTCAGATAATGAGCTGAGCTCAAAAAATACACTCTGAAAGGTTGGGATGTGTCAGAGTGCCCTGCAGTTGATTTGTGTCAGAGCTGAAAGAATACACTGGAGTCTTACACAGGTACATGGCTGGGCTTTCCTTTCTGCACCAGGACCCTTTGGAGTCTTCTCTGCTGCCGTGGGCTCCTGCTTTGGAACTCCTGGACAATTCTAAACCCCACACAAATGGTCTCACACCAGAAATACTGACACGACTTCTGCTTGGAGCTTAAGCAAGTGCTATTACAGCATTGCTGTTGAACAAAGAGCAGGTGAGTTGGGGAGCCAGAACACCATGCTCAGATCTGGGTTTGAAGTTTTCTTTAGGGCAGCAGCTCTTTGGAGCCTTGGTTTGGTTTTGCACTCCCTCCAGACAGGTACAGTTGTAAGCACAACCTCTGTCCTCCAACCAGACACTCTGAGGAGGGGGAGCAAACTTCCCGTGCTGATCCTCACCCTGCTCATGCAGACTTTGGAGTTCTACACAGCAGAACTTTGTAGAAATAGAGCTTTGGAGTTCTACACAGGTATTTTGGTTCTGAGATGAACCCCTGAGCACTGAGAGCCATTTCTCCTGCTCACAGTGATGTAGGGTTTCAGCAAACTCTGCAAAGACTCTCAGAGCCTCTTGCTGCCAACTCCTGATATTATTACTGGGCACTACAAAGCCACATTGTTCTACACCTATTTACTGGAAGTAAGATATGAGGATACCAGGTGTAATTGCTTTACTGCCTTAAGGATAGAAGTCTTTCTGATTTGACCACAGTAGGACACCTGCATCTCTCAACCACAGCTTACCTGGATTTGCAAGATGCTTTCAAAGCACCCACTTGCTACTCAGTGACCCAGAAAAAAGTTTACCACCTACTCATAAACCCTCATTTTGAAGTACTGTGCCTCTTATTTAATGCAAGGAATCTTAAGGTTCTTCAGAGTGTGGGCTGTGTATTAAATGTGCGAACCACTTGTGTACCATTGTGCAAATCACATCTTTTGATATGAAACTGTACTCTGGGGATAACTCCTTAAAAAAAAAAAAAAGTGATTATTGAGTCCAAGGAAAAGTATTTAACAGTTGTACATTGCTTTTCAGGGAAGCATGAAAGCTTCCAGACAAGGAGCTTAGGGACATGGTTTAATGGTGGGCTTGGCACTGTTGGGTTTACACCTGGATTCAAAGTTCTTTTCCAAATTAAATAGTTCTGTGATTCTGTTAAATAAGGAAAATAAGTTGGCGTGACTCAAACTGTTTCTCTGAAACACCAAAAAAAAAAGGTGATGCGGAGAAGTCATCTCTCTGTACGCATCAAAATTCCATTTTCTGACAAGCTTTGAATCTGTTGCATTTCCATTTTTACCTGTACTGAGGAAAATTCTGGAGGCCCTGTCATGAAGAGATTTCAGTTTGTGGCCCTGGAACATGAATATTTATTTATTGAACTCCACCCAGGTAAAACTTCTCCTTCAGAGGAAGGACAGGTTGTCTAATTTGGGGTAAAACAACATGAGGGATGTCTTGTTCCTGCAGGTGCAAACGCCCTGGCTGAAAGTGTAAATGTGTTGCACTCCCTTCAGTGCTTGAACATGGCATTAATCCTCTTCCTTCTCTTCTTCCTCCTCCTCCTCCTCCTCTGCTCTGTCTCTGCGCTGGAGGTCACCTCCCACAGACACGGCACAGACAGGAGATACCTGCCTGCTTCTCCCCTGCTTTGAGACAAAATCAAGGCAAGTAATTTCAGCTCTTTGAAGGCAGGTTTGTGCTAAAGACCTGGATTTTATGCTGAAGTGGCTGACACTAATATAATTTGGGGGATAAGGGGTAGCCTTTGGCAGCAGACACTGAGTTGTATCATCCTCAGCCAACGCAGGAAGATTTTCCAGAGCTTGTCTCTTAACACCTTGAATAAGCCCCCGACTTAAATCCACCTTGATTAAGAGCAAAATAGATTATGTATGCACAGGAGCACACAAAATAATATTTAAATGTCTGTTCAGGTATGTAAATAATGCTGTGAACAGAGTCTGGGAGCTGTGCTCTCAGTGAGGCAGAACCGTTTGGCACAGGCCTGGACAGTGAGCTTGGCTCTGCTGGGTCCCAGCCCACTGCTTCAATCACAAGACTATTCCCCAGTATGGATTTGTCTATCCCCTATGTCTTTTCCATCATCTCTAAACTTGAGTGACTCCTATGACTAATGTGATTGTAAGTCATAAAACATTAAGTTATGACACAATCAAATCAAAGCCAAGAAATTCATAGTTAGGGTGTAGGCTACATTCTTAACTCAAAACCAGAAAAGCAGCATTACAGGGTAAACAAAAGGCTGAAGTGTCAGCCCTCATTTTTCATTTTTTGGGCTCTTATCAGTTTGTATCAATTTAAGCCTTTTTTAAATATGTAATTTCTTTGACTTATATTTTTCCCTCTAGGAACTGAAAATTATTCTGCTTTGAGGTCTGGAACCTGCCATACAATAAACACTACTTAATTGGGACATGCTTAATAGGGATGGCCACTTTAATGGGACATCTCCTAGGGAACCTATTTATGTTAATGAGACTGAATGACAATGACTGTTTCTTAAGTGGGGCAACAAAAAGGAAAAAACTCCACTTAACAGGGATGCACTCAGCTGTTACTAGTTTGTTAAGTGTTTAACCAGGTGTTAAATAGGTCTAAAATTTTGAGCTTCCATCTTTTAATTCAAAACCGGAAAATTAAAACATTTGCATCATGATGAAATGTAGTGTTATGATCTGTAAAGTGGCATTTAGTGTGAAGTAAGGGCCAGATTTTCAGACTAGAAGTTCTCATCTCCAGAGAGAGCTCCTCTCTCCAAGCATGGAGCGACCTGTAGATTGGATTTGTTCAGATTCATGGCAAAAGGTAGCCGTGAACCCCATTTCTTCTATTTATAAATGCTGTATTTTACTCTTTCACCCCAAAATCTTTCCATGCTGTAATTTGAATAAAAAGATGGGAGAAAAAAAAAATAGGAAAGCTTCTTAATTCTCAGTGACCCTCAGGCCTATAAGATGATGTCTGAAGACTTCCAGGAACCTCCAAAAGCCTGAAAACCATCTGAAGATTATTCTCTCCCTGTAGCTCTTTTGTGCTCTGCTGTTTCTCCTGTAAATATGTATCCACATTTCAGGGGGGGGAACAAGAGACCATGTCAAGAAGTTGTCTGAAAAACAAAAATCCCGTCTTAGACGACAGCTATACGAATTTGGGGACTCTCCCAGGCAAACCAAGACATCTGATTATACCATTGTATCCTGTTTGGCAAAGGAGAGAGTGAAGGGAAGTGATAGACATGAGGGGCAGATGGAGTTTGCCTAATGTGTCTGTTCTTTTCTTCGCTGCCTTTTCAATTTAAGAATGTAGCAAAATAGCAGCTGCTCATAATTTCATGAATCAAGAAGTATGTAAATTTCAGCTACAAAATTTGTTGCATAGTTAGACACACACACACACACACACACGCACACACACACACACACACACAAAGAAGGGGGAAAAAAAGGAAAAAGATCTTGCTTGCATCTACAACTTTCTTAATCTGGCATGCAAATGTAGCTTTCAGGCCTGGTTTGCCTCTCATTTAGGAGTGAATCTGAGTGGCTCAATCGATTTTGCTGCCGTCACGAAGGATAATGCCGTGGGATAATGGCGAGCCTGGCATGAAAAGCTCCTTTCGTGCCCCTGAGCTGCCAAGGGGGTTTGTGCCTTACCTCTGCTGCTGGGCTGCAAGTGGAGAGGAGAGAAGAAGGGAAGGAGGGAAGGGGTTGTGCTGGGAATGTTTCCCCGAGCAGGGGCTGTGAACAGCTACCTGAGGATGCTGACAAGCACCGCAGACAGAGATGGAAAGCACTCTCCTCGTGTTTCAGTCCCTAACAGCTCCCAAATCAAAAGATGGAAAAAGTGACTGGAAATGTATCATCCACATGTATAAAACAGTGCTCAGGAGGGGCTGGGATCGGGGCCTCCACACACCGTACAGCTGGTTCTAGTTTTCAGACAAGATTTACTAAACACATGTAAACCGTGCGTATCTGTTTGAATACTTTTTGTGCAAATAACTTCCTCTGTGGTCAAGCTGTTCCTCTCAGATCCAGGCTACAGATTTGTGCTTTATACTCACCACTTTTTTACCCTTGGATTTCCACCAGTATCAGTTCACACTCAGAGTATGAAACTGTGAAGGAGGGAGCTGAGCTTGGCAGCAAGAGTCAGGAGAATTTACAGTGCAAAACACCGAGCAAAACTCACGGTAAAGGGCAGGAATCATCCCTGGCTTTGCTCCATCCAAGCCAGTGGGGCAGATCCTGAGCAGCTGTAAACAGCCCCACGACTGCACGTTCCACAGGAGCTGCAAGCATTTATATCACTTGGCCCAACAGCTTCTTGCAGAGATGCAACATTTCACCAGCTCTGGTGGGGTTCCTCCTGATTTATACCCCCCGAGCGAGCAAGCAGAGCCAGGGTCTTTCTTCACCAATTAGAAGTGCCCCACAATTATATCTGCCAAGTGTCATGAGTTCCAACTCTCAACACAAAGCAACAGCTGAAACTGGATATGAAGAAGCAGGAGGGCAGAGTTTTATGATCAATGTTTTATTGGAATCATATAAAAAAGAGAAGCATTTCACATATTTCATGGAGGTATTTTATGTGCAAATTTAATATGAATCCTCTTCTTGTTAAACTCTTACGTGATCTATGTACTTCAGTATATAAAACATACTATAGGACAACTATGAACAAGTTTATTAAAACAACTTGGGCTCCTGTTGACATCACCAACCGCACAAGTGCTTGCTCAGATCTTATCAGTCTCTCCTTATATTTCAGGTTACCTACTTGCTCGTTTTCCCTATATATCTTTCATTGTTACAAGAATTCAACTCCTGGGCAGATCTCACAGATAAATCTGCTTGTCTATTTGGGGAATATGGCTCTAGTTCTAATTTTGCAGACTTCGTTCAGGCAATACTCCCTCTGACTGCAGGGATTTTTGCCTGAGTAATCCTTTCAGAATTGGACTCTCTGTGATTTTCATTTACTTAACAACTTGGCATTACATCTGTAAAATATTAGCCCAGTAATGTAAAATATCAAATTAGATTTATGCATTAATCTAATCTATATATGAAGCTTGATAGTCGGTTCTGATACACTGCATTATTGCAATTCCAGGCATTCTGTGTCATTTCACATTTATTCTGATGATGCAAGAGAACCAAAGAGTGAGACTGATAGATCAAATTTGGTAGCCCATGCATGTAAAAGTCTGAAACTTTGAACAGATTTTAAAATCAATTTCCACTTTCTGATAAACCATGTAAATGTTTTCCTATCAATCACAAATAAAAAAGAGCACACACAAAAAGCTAATCTGGAATAATCAACAGAATAACAGAATAAAAAGCTATTAAACAGGAAAAAGCAGGTCAAGATACCTAGAGAATACTGCAAAGTATTCTCTAAAAATCCTTGAAAAAGACAAATAAGCAATTGTTTCTTTTCTGTGTGACAGTTGCAGTCTGAAAAGTAAAAAATTACTCCTTCATACATGTTCATAAACTGCATTTATAAACACTTCACACAACTAAATTATATTTGTTTCCTCCAGGTTGGCTGCCCTTGAACATTTTTCTCCTTCTTGCAGTTTTTGCTTTTTTTATATAATCCTTTCATGAAAGCAGGTCTTAAGCCCATGGCCCTGCTTCAGCAGCCAGTCCCACACAGCAGCCACTTAAGAACACATTAAACTAAAGTTTTGTGTGTGCTTTGGTACCTTTAAAAACTGGATTCTTGGAGACAACCCACCAATACGTTATTCTTACATCTTAAAGCCATTTACTTCTCTTTATGAATGCTTCCAATTTGTTTTACTCTTGTTGGGCTGAATCCAGCTTGTTATTTACAGAAAGAACACAACAAGATTAATAGGATGTGGTCTGCACTAGCCTACACCCCTGGAAATTCATAGTGATCCCATCAATTCTGTATAATTTCTTTGGATTCATAGCAGGTTAAAGCCCCAATCCAGGATAATGCCAAGCAGATGCAGACAAGGGCCAGCCCACAAATGTGGAGAATCATGGCTAGAATAAAACTGGATCTCTTTATTCCAAAGAAGAAGGTAATGTTTAGATACAAAATATTACATGCTTTTTTTCTTTTTCCCCTCTGTTTGGTAATCTGTCACCATCTGGACACCAAATAGGAAATGATGCAACACCAGGGGGGAAAAAAACCCAATTTATTTCATACATGTTACTAAAGAAAGACTGGATTGATGTGCTACCCCGAGCACTTTGGCTCACTCGTGTGTCACAACAGGCGCAGGTAGGCTCCCTTCAACCAGGAGGTTCTCCACACTGAAATGTTTCCTGTGGGACACAGCATCAGTTTTGCCAGTGTATGACAGCTGCAGTGAACTCAGGGCTTCCTCTAAGCGTGTCTATTTTCTCCCTTTCTGCATTAATTCAGAATTACTGTTTCTCCTTCCCCAGCATTCGCATGCAACCACCCCAAACACAGTTGTGTTTGCAGAAAATCACAGTTGTGCTAAGTCAGTCACAGTGTTCGTATTTCTAAGAAAAGATGTGCTTCCCCAAATGAAACCTCACCCTCATTATTGGAGGACAAAGCACCTCAGACACCCAAAACACCACAAATCACAATGTAGGTGCCTGTGGGGGACCCACCGAGGGGGGACAATGGGACCAGAAAGCCCAGCTGGAGGAAAGGAGCAGAGGGGTGTTCCCTTCTTTCATCCCACGTGAAGTGTTTGTGTTTGGAAAGTGAAATAAAAACCTTTCTTCTCTCCCCTTTGCCAAGGCAGCTCAGCTCTGCACTCAGCCACTTCTGTGGAAGGGAGGGAAAGGGGAACTGGAGGTGAGTGAGCAGCTCTGAGCTGCTTTATCTGTACTTTTCGTCCTTCTCCTCGCTGCTTCCCTGCCCTGCAACCCTCGAGGTGGAGTGCCTGACAGCCACCACGAGATTTTGATCTCCCAGTGACCACTGTTGCTGTAAAAAATGGAGAAACTGAGGGAGGATCCAAGGACTCCTTTCATGCCACGAAGAGCCCTGTGCCAGCAGCCAGCCACAACTCCTGTCCCCAGCCACAGCCACCAAACCAGCTCTCCTGCCACTGGGAGAGTGGCTCAGACAAACAGAATAAGCCCAGGTGAGGTTCAGAACACAAAAAGGCATTTAAACTAATAATGCAGGCTTTAGATCCTTATTCCAAAGTAATATGTGGAATATTGGAGCTGAAGATTCAGCAGAGAATTGGGAGAAATACCTGGCTGGGATAGAGTTAGTGGAGGCAAAAGCACAGCCAAAATGTACCTGAGGAGGGAGGGAGAGGGGAAAAGCAAGAACTTGAAGTGAGGAAGTGGCTGCATGAAGTGGGTGAGGGCTCATGATAGGAATAGCAAGATGTGCAAAACCCAAACCTCTAAGAGAAACCAATAAAAGGGTAAAAATCATGACAAGTTTTCAAGTGAAAAAAAAGTAGGAATTTTTCCTGGGAACATAACCTACTAACTTGTCTGCTGATCCCTTTAGAGGGCAGAAAAGGTAATTCCCAAATCAAGACCAGCCTAAGTCAGAGAGAAGAGTGCTGCTTGGAGCATGAGGTCAGAGAAGGGCTCGATGTGCCTCCTATCCAACAAAATCCTGGCTCTGGTACCATCCTGTGCATGGGATATAGGATGAGAAGGCAAGAACAGTGCTGAGAAATTAAAGCTGGGGTGAACCAGACCCTGAGAGAAATTCAGTATGAAATTTACTCAGTCCAGCTCCAGTCCATAACCCAAGAGATCCTTTCCTCCTCTAATTCTTTCTGCTGTTCCAGATGTTGGCCAAAACACAACCATGCATCTGGATGGAACACAGGTTGAGAAAAGCAGCTATTTGAGAGAAATGTTGTGGGAGCCCTTTTGGGGGTCTTTAGTAGCTGCACATGGCAGAGACACCACTGCAATGCCATCCCATGTTTGTGTTGGTGTGGGTTAATCCACAAATCCTCAAGGAAGATCTGTTGTGGGTTATGCTGGATCCTCATAAGCGTCTTCAGAGTTAACCAGCAAGTAACCACACCACGCAAATTTACTTTGCTTTTAATTGTGGCTGTTTTCCCTGCCCTCTGTGAGGATTGCTTTCTTCTCTTCCACCTGCCAGAGTGTATCTGTGGCTGTGCAGTGCTCACAGGATAACAGAAACCACAGGATTTTGTGCTTGGATCATGTGTGCTGCCATCAACATGATTTCTGCTAAAACTCTACCAATTTACCAAAGAATGTGGGAATTGGCATGTTGGTTGAGAAAACAAGGGTCCATCCAGCTGAGTGACCACAGCTGGACACCCAGGTAATCGTGTGCAGGCATGGAGGATCCTTCTCCCTGCTATTTTCTCTGTTTCCAACCATTTTCTGCTCAGGAGCTTTCCTGAGCTTCTACATGTCACAGTGTCCACATCACTGGCCAAACCCTCAGGCAATTTATGTGCTGCAAAACCTCTGGCTACTACCAGAGATATAAATCAAGCAGAATTAGAGTCATTGACAATAATTGGGAAAAAAAATAAATCTGTGATTTGGAAGACATATATGAGTTTTGATCTTAATTTGGACTAAATCTCCCAGGAACATAAATTATCTGTTTGGATGTCTCTGCTCCCTGCCATCCCTGTGGAATCTCGCTGGGCAATGGCACAGAGCAGAAAAGGATATCTCAAATCCAGTTTTAGGTGAACAGGAGGGCATTTCCACAGTGGAGAGGGCTGGGGTTTTGGAATCAGGAGTTCCTTTCCAGTGGGCACAGGCAGCCAGGGACAAGAATCAGCTGAAGAAGATGCAAAGATGAGAGCCATGAAGTGAGGAGGGAAGGGCCCGGACAAGGAGCAGACATGGGTACAGAGAAGGCTCTGGAGGAACTCTTTTAGGAGAACTGATAAAAATTTGGGAGTCAGTTTGAAAATGAGAAGGAATAAACCACAAGGATCCTTGGAGAAGAGACACTCAAGTTACAAGTGCTGGGAGAAGCAGCACCTCATCTTTCAGTCCTGGCCAAGAAAATCAGCCAGGTTCATTAAGGCAAAGAGAAGCCTAAGTCCAGTGATCAATACTGGACTCATTGTCCAAAATATCCTCATGAATGCACACTGATGCCCAGGGGAGCAGCTGTGCTAAGGAACTGCTCCCAACCAGTTTGGGACCTTTGGAATAAAGATCCATTTTCTTCAATATTCCAGATGATGACATGAAGAATAACAAGGACAATTTTCTGTGATGGCCCAAAGTGTAAATATGTTCATTAAAGAGCTGCATCAGTGAGATCTTAAGACATTAATAAGTAACAGATTTTAATGTGATTTTCATCCAATTCCTAAAAAGAAATCTGTACAACATACTTACAAATATTTTGGATGTATTGCTGATTGCTGCCATCATTTGAGATTTAAACTTCAAATTCACTGTGTTTCCTTTTCCAGTACTCTATTAGTGCCTGTTGAAAGAAGTTAGCATTTACACAGATCAAATCTAACTTTAGAAAAACCTTCCTCAAACGAACAGATGAGAATGATTCCTCAAAACATTATAACACAAGAAAACTTTATTCCAACCATCTCCTTGCCAGGGTGCAGCCAGTTTTCCAAGCTCCCTCTCCCATCGTACACAGGTACATTTCAGCAGGAACGCAAAGCACATTATCGCTTGCTCCAAGGAGCTCTGTAGCCTGCAGGATCTTTACAGAATCCAGCCCGAAGAAATGCAGCACTTTGAGAAAACAGAGCTGTCAAGCAAGATTTCCTTGGGCTTGCTGCCACACAAAATGGCAAACGAGGGACTTGATCCTGCATGGAAGACAATAGGAATTATAGGTGCTCAGCGTTTGTCTTCCGGCAGAGTTAAGGTTTCGCAGTAATTCCCCAAATCAGCCGTGCTGCTTCATACTTATTCAAAATTACATAGCTAAAAGCTTTGGTATGTAGCCACAGAGCTTTTATTTCAAATTGGCAATAATGTAACTTCTGTGGAAAAAAAAAAGACTACAATAATGTTAAAAATATCATGAAATGTTATTTATATCAGGATTCATTTGTTACCCCATATGACAATCATTCATATTTCTTGACAGATATAAACCTCCGCTTAACACATTAGTATCATAAATATTACCAGCTATAACACTGTAACTTAATACCTACCAAATGTATTTTAAAATATTACTCAATTTAAAACTTTGGATTTTAACCAGATGTGTTTCCAGAAAATGATTCAGGTCAGATGGTTTTTTCTTTTCCCTTTTCTGTGCGCGCGCGTTCAAAGCGGAGCGTTCCTATGTGATTTATTGTGCCATGACTGTGTGCCCCGAACCTAAAACAGCACCATGATACTTCATCCTTGAGGCTTACACACCTGCAGTCCAAACTAACAAGAGAAAACATCTACATGGCACGGCAGGAGCCTTTGAAATGTCTTTTTGCAGTTGCCTGGACACAGAACAGACTGGTAGAACAGGGAGGCAGCGGAGAAAGGGTGAAGACAGGAACTCCAGCCTCTTTCATCTAGAAAGGGGGGACCATGGAGAGATTAGAGGAAAGGATTTTGATTAGATCACTGGAATGTGAAATGATGCTTCCCAGGATTAAAATCCTATTTTAGAGCTACCAAACCGGTTACGGCGTTAGTCAGAATTTGGAGGCTCGCGCAGCTCCATCCCTGCTCCGTCCCCAGCTGTCGCTCCCAGCACCCCACACCCTCTCCCCGGAGCAGGGGGGACCCCAGCCAGGCACCCCAATCCTCTCCAGCATCATCCCAGCAAGGAGCTGCCCTCCCCCAAGGCACAGCACTGCTGGGGGAGAAGGAGTTCCCTTGTCCAAGGGCATCCCTGGGTCCAGCCCCACGGCAGTCGCGTGGAGGCTCTTGGATTTCGGTCTCATTGAGCCCCCAGTTCAGATCACCATGTAGAGATCTGACATTTTCATAACCAAATGCCATTAGTTTTATTCCCAGCGCAGCCAACCAACAATCTGAAGGTCTGTAGTCGTCGGGCTGATCATTACGTGGAACCCATTAACATAAAACCCGCCATCGCAATTAGTATCTTTGTAAGCAGCAGCCTCAGCAAAAAGTGGAAATGGAGGCTGAAATGATGGTGCTCTTCCAAAGGAGGCCGGCAGCAGATTGGGAAATAATCTGTGGCAATTGCTCTGCCGCTGTCTCTGCCGTAACTTCTCCAAAGACAGGCAGAGCCATTTCCAAGCAGTCAGCCCACGGACTTGAGCGAACACTAAATTCACTCGGTGATCAAATACAATTTGAGAAAAAAATCTACAATCGCTCACTTGGGG